TAGGTATCCATTGAGCAATACGAATCTCAGACATGCGGGTCCACTACCACATTTTTCCCTCCATCCTTTTCTTTCTCTCTCTATCCCTCGGTTTTCTCCCTTCCTTTTTTTTTCTTTCATTTTTTTTTCTACAGGTACCCACGTGCATGCTGAACTGATGAACGCTGTAATAATAAACCTTTACTGCGGTGTTGGTGATATGTTTGGCTATCACCGTTCTGAAGGTGTTCAGGTCACCTGACAGCTGCACGTCCTGCTACTGCTCCAATGCCCTTGATTGAAGCTATTTACTCCTCAAGAGCAAGTTCGTCTGATTTCTGTATGAGTCACTTTGCATGAACGTGTGTGGCTGTATTTAAACATAAGGAAATGAAAGGACAGGACGTGATGTGGAATTTGTGCTCTGCATTTCTCACCTCAGTCGTGGTATTGAGGGTGGAAGTGGGCGCTGGTCATTCACTCCCCCCACCTACAATCCCTGCTGGACCTGAGACTCAAACCCACGACCTTCAGGTTATAAGTCCGACTCTCTATCCATTAGGCCACGACTGCCCCAAATCATGAATGATCATAAATCAAATCATAATAAATCATGATGTACTCAAAATCTAAAAATAGCTTTTTCCACACCTGCCAAGGATGAATTAAGATTTTATCGGTCATGAATGTTTTTTTATGTGCCATGAATCTGTTTGTGGCATTACATTAACAGAAAAACATATTTTAGCAGAAAAAAATATGGATAGGTTACTGTTAAAGTACCATATCACCTGCGTTAAACCCTAAACATAACCAATAGTGTTAACAAAAGCAAACATGAGATAAAAATGTATTTGGTGTGCCAGCATGCCATTTTAGTTTGAGCTCTTTTATTGTGACTCTTTTGTGGGCCCCACATCACAAGTGCAGTTCTGTACCAGGTGAGCTGCCGAGCAAGTTTACTATGTCAGAAAAGCCATACATGTGTGGCTTTTTTTTCATTCATATGTGTGATGCAAAATGTATTAGTTTACAAATCATGCACTATGGTACACGTGTTTTAAAGTCTTAACTTAATAGATAATCTGCGCAGATGCGCCTGTAATCATAATTTGTTTAAAAAGAAATCATTTGTTTGTGTTTTACTGTCTCTAGTGTTCATTTCAAATGGAAACTGCAGTGAATTGTATGTATAGGTACGTTTTTGGAGTTTAGCAAAAATGTAGCATATTTTACCAGAGTTTCTCTTTTGATTTAATTAAGGGAATCTATCCTAGAAAGGCAGAATAACAGTCTAACACTTCGAAATGTATGTGCAGCTCCTAATAAATGTACTATTCAGCTGGCCTCAAAGTGTTTTTCTTTTCCACTTGCATTCATTGCTTGTCGAGTGTTAATTTTGAATCCCTTAAGCAGCACATCCATAAGCTGACTTCTCATTTATCACAGTTACAATACACACAATAACAATACACACAATAACACATTGGGTTGAATCTTTGTGAAAGTGTGTGTGTGGGAGAGGGTGTAAAGGGGCAGTCTGCGCAACCTTTGCACAGCATAGCTTTAAACTTCTCAATGAACTCACTTCACTCTTATGTCCTCTCTCTCACACACACACACACACTTCAGAGAGTGTCATATTCCACCTGCTCTGTTAGTATGGAAGATCTAGAGAAGCTGACAGGACAATTTTGCCTCTCGCTCTCTCTCTTTCACTTCTGTAGGGCTACAAAACAGGAAAAAGTGAGTAGCTTCTTTGTCTGTGAGAAAGAGCAAATGCATTTGTTGTCATTCACACTGTGACAGTCACTAACCCGTGGAGCATGTGAGTTTTGCTCTTTGGTATGTAATATGATCAGCCAAATTTGAATATGCAGCCATATTTAAAGGTTTATGTGACTTGTGATAGGGTTTCAGTTCAATTTTTTTGCTTTGTTGTAAAAGAATGCAGTTGTGGTTCTTTTATAGTATGTAGGATAGTACTTTGGGTTACAGTTTTGAGCATCTGTGTGATTATATGTAGTTTTGAATATTACATTTGTGGATTATTTTTAAAGCAAATCATCACAGTATGTTAAAAAGTAGATGTAGATGAATCATAAACGTTTTGTTAATGTTTGAGTTGTGAGGGTGCAGTTTGTATGTGTTGGTGTTTGTCAGGGTTCACTATAATGTTAAACACAGATGTCGAGAGCGAGCTTATATCTGTTTACTGTTTGGCATCAGAACGACTGGATGGGGTTACCAGCCAGAAGGAGAGAGAGAAAGAGGGTGTATGTATTTGCTATTTGCAGAACTCAAAGATGACATGCTTCTGAAATAAACCCTGTACCCTGCCTACCAATGAGGTTTGGGAGGTTACAGCTAGATGTCAAATTCTGTCTGGACAAACTGGAATTTTTTGGTAAGGGTTTTTTGTGTATTTTGGACCACAGACATTATACTCTTTAGTTACAGATTTAATTCAAGCCAAACTTCTTATTTGATGTCCTGGACCAAAATCAATTTTCCAATATTTTGGCTGTTAAACCAGAGGTGTTTATCAATGCTGTGCCATCTGGACATTATTTTACTGGGATTCATGTTGGAAAAAGCTCTGCATGCGTGCGTACTGATCAAGGAGAAGATTTGGGCTGGCAGAGTTGTGGCATTAAAGCTAGGAGGTTAAAAAGGCTAAAGGCTTTATTAAAATAGCTGACAGTTTTCACGGTGGTCTCTCTATACTTTAAAATCAGCAGTATATTCAAATTCAGCACATTGCAGCTTGATGAAGGCCTGAAGAGACGCCTGTGAGAGCAACATTGATCGCTTGTCATTCAGGGAATGTACAAGGCCATCAGCACAGCTTTAAACAGATCCCTCTTTCAGTGTTATTAACTTGTTTGTGTCCCATGAACATCTCATTCAGTGCATGGGTTTAATTTGGCACTGCTAAGCTTTTTTTCTTTCTTATAATTTGCATTAATAATCTCTCAAAGTCTCGAGTTTTAAGTGGCACACTCAGATTTAACCGTAATGAATAATGTCATGATAAGAACTGAATGGAATAGTGTCATGGTTTGTCATTTATTGTAGGTACTCAATTTCTGCTAAACCCCATTCCGAGGCCAAACTTATTTCAGGTGCCTCTTAACTTTAAGCCTTTGTTGTTGTTTTGAACAAGCAATCATTATAATCCGTAATTATGTCCCCACTGGATGCAACAAATGCAAATTTAATGTTTTTGTCTCGTCGCTCTGGCCGGACAGTGCATCACAGTATGGTAGGGGCGTAGCATTTCCGTCACACGCTTGAAGTATTCGGCCAATCACAACGCACTGGATAGCTGGCCAATCAGAGCACACCTCGCTTTTCAGACCGATGAGCTTTGTAAAAATCAACGCGTTTCAGAAAGGCGGGGCATAGAGGAGCAACAATAATGTACAGTATGTGGAAAATAATGTGTTTTTTTAACCTTAAACCGCATAATACACAACAATACCTGAAACATTGTCATCGTATTGATTATGATGAATTTCTAGAAAACTCAGTTGCTGTTTTTTTCCCAATAAATTTAACAGGACTTTTTTTTTTTTATTGTGTATCAGTTGCTGTTTCAATTGATGTAATCTGGAAAAGTATTTTGCACCACTAGTGTCTCCTATTTCCAAATTTAGGCCCTCTGATGACCTTCTGCCTGAAACGGGTATAAGAGTTTTGGGCGCTGTTACCTTGGCTTCAGTTGCTTAGCAACCCCTGGTCATGTCCTGACTCTGCTCCAGACGTTCTGTCAGAGAGACGGATGAGTTCTGACCCCTGAATGAGACATTTCAAACTTCATATCCTCACAGAGCACACAAAAGCAATGTCATATCTGGTTGGTGAACCGATTGTATTTAACCTCTCTCTAGTCATCCCAATTGGTTCCATGATTTACCATGTGAATTCATGTACTTTAGAGGATGTCTCTTCAAGGATTTACAAGAACATCAGGAGCAAAACCGTTCATAATCTCTATTTAAAATGCCTTAGCTGTGTTTGAAGTATTGACAAAGACATTTTCCTTCTGCTGCGTTTTGTTCTTAGTTAGAAATGTCATTCCTCCCCCTCATTCTCTGTTATCTTGTTTTTGTCTCTCTGTCTGGGAAACAACACATTTCATCCATTCAACATCGATCTGTTAAACTCAGCATGCAAGAGAGACCCAGAGACAGGACACATTTTTCACTCGAATTGCATTGCTGAGAACATAATTTGTATCAAAAACATTGTATTAAATTAGAAAAAGAAGCATTTTTTCCCCTAGTGGTCTCAGACTTTGACCCCACTTGGTCTGCTATAATGCTACTACAGCTAAAGGCCTTGAGAAAACCTGAAGAGAGAATGATAAAAAAGGAAACTAGACATCTTAGCACTTAGCACTTTAGTGATTTTATGTCGCTCACAATCACAAAATCAATATTTTTCAAGTGCATGTGTATATGTGTGTAAGTGTTTTAAGAAGGATCTTATCACGCTCATCTGAAGGATGTTGATCTTTGACGCTGTGGCACCTGCTGAACAGGTTCTCCGTCGGTGCTGAAATTGAAATTGAGTGATGGGTGATCAGAGGACACGAGTGAAAACATCTTCAGAGAGAGGGAAGAAAGAGAGAATAAAGCCGGTGATTTAGTTTTATAAGATTAAGCTCACTTTAATTAGGTAAAGAAGCTTTCTAAGCATTGAAATCTATCCTGAAGGCATTATAAGAAGCATCCAGTGGCTGCGCCTCTATTCTGGCATTGATTTGTGTGTTAAATGCTTCCAGTTCCTTCTGCAGTGAGTGGTGTGATATTTCAGCCGGATCAGAGGTGAGATATACTACTGCTGCTGCTGCTGCTACCAGAGGTCATTCAAGCTGAACTCTAGATATTTATTTAGCTAAAATGTGAATTTCCAAACATATGGAGCGATCGTGATTAAACCAGAAGAGTGAATCCTGCTCAAACACATAATGTTCATCAATTCTAATGTTATCTGTATGTGTGTTTCTCTTTCAGATGCACCGGTGCAAAGACAGAAAGCTTTGACAGAGCTTGGTCGAAAAGGTGACGTTGTTCTTCAGGAGATGTCATTAGATAAAGGTAAGAATAGTGTACATGCTGAAAAGCATTTAAGGAAGTCCAGATAAGCACAAATACCCTAAAATTCACCACTGACTAGTGATTGAAAATCAGAGTGATCTATGAGGTTTCGCCTGAGAGTGGAGAATTTTCCTGAGCTGGAAGATGAATGAGCACACACACACACACACACACACACACACAACATCAGGCTGCACATTTAAAGGGATAGAGGTTTTTGCAAAATCATAAGCTCCAATCTGATTGCTTGGCTTTGTCTTGGAATTGAGATGCACATTTTCTACAATACTGTTCAGTTAAGATTTTATTTATTTAACACCAAGGCTGCATTTGTTTGATCACAACACAGTAAAAACAGTAATATTGTGAAATATTATTTTGATTTAAAATAACTGTTCTATTTTAATATATTTTAAAATGTAATTTATTCCTGTAATGATTAAGCTGATTATTCTGCTGCCATTATTTCAGTCTTCAGTGATCCTTCAGAAATCATTCTAATATGTTGATTTGGCACATTTCTTCTTACTATTATCAAGTTTGAAAACAGGTGTGCTGATTAGATTTTTACAGATTCTTTGATAAATTGAAAGTTCAAAAAGTTAAAAAAAAACAGCATTTCTTTAAAATAAAAAAACAAACCCCAAACATTTGAAAGGTAGTGCATACTGTATTTACTAGGAAAACTCTTTACTTGTTACCTCTACGTAGCAATGTGCGCTTATGCAGAAGAACTGCTTACTGGAATTGTGAGCTATGAGATTTTCTAGTAATTTCATCATTGTCTATACAACTTTTATGAGAACTGCTGTGCTGTGCATGAGCTGCCAGTTTGTTTTCTTGGGAGCTTGTTTGTTTTTTGTTTTTTTGAAGGGGTTGGAGAGACTTTTTGCCTTTATTTTTACATGACAGTGGAAAGTACATGACATGACCCAGATTGAACCTGATTCCCTGTGAGCCGACAACACTTCTACATCCTGAGCGCGGCACAGCTCTGATGCCTTGTTATTGTAGTTTTTCAGCTTTACAGCATGTAAAATCAACTAAAAAGTGTGGTTGGCAACTTTATGCCTATTTAAATGGTTCTTGGCCAGAATAGGATTCAATGTGGACCAGGCATTATGCTAGTGGTCCAGTCTGGCTATGCAAGACTGCACATGTTCACTCTCTACTGAACATGTCAGCAGCCCTTCATCCTCTTTGCCGTTAGTTTTTTTTTCTTTCTATCATACAGGGAGAATAAAGAGAGATGGAGTGGTAGAGAGACTCTGCCATATTATCTTAGTGTTTTTTTTTTTTGGCCTGACTGCAGGTTGACTCTTGGAGGCTCATTTGATTCAGGTTCTCTGATCACTGACTTCACTGAATCAAAGGTTATAAATTATGAATCAGTTGATTTATCATCTCCACAGAGGGAATGACTGGCTGCAGTTCTTAAACAAACCTCTCCTCTTTTATCACTCGTTTATTCTCTTCGTTTTTTCATTTGGTTCATGTCATCAACTTATGTTGGCACCTGTGAGTTTGTTTATTATACTTAATATAGTGTAAATGCTGCTGTTTCTATGACTCAAAGACTAGAATAATCAACTGTCAGAAGGTGATGCTAGCCTGCATTTGTTTGTCTTTGGCTATGGTGTGCTTGGCACAGCAGTTAGCCACACTTTACATTCCTTTGTGCAAGTGGGATTGCATGTTTGTATGTGTGTGTGAACTCTGTTGACGGGTGTAATGTGTGTGTGTGTGTGTGTGTGTGTGTGTGTGTGTTGACAAACCATCCTGAGGGATCTGTAGAATTTAGCCTAGTGTTGAAAAGCAGCACAGCTGCAATCAAGCACACAGATTTTGTGTGTGTATCAGTTTTAGTTTGTGAATACCTGAGTGAATGTGAGTCTGTGTGTACATGTGACCCAGTGAGATTTGCAGCATTTGGGGTATTTCATGGCCAAAAATGCAGTTTGGGACTGGGTCAAATATGTACAGGCAGCTCAACTGATACAGCATGATGCTGCCAACACCAAGGCCATCGGTTCGATTCCCTGTGAAGGTACAAACTGAAAACTGAAAAAAAAAAATATATAAAAAAAAAGTAATACATTTAAAATTGGCTGGCAAATGGTGACTTTTTTTCTCTTCATAATTCACAGACTACTAATACAGAAAGAGACATTTATAAGCTAGCATTTGGGTTCAGTAAGATTTTTAAAGAAATGTATTATTTTATTCAGCAAGAATACATTAAATTGATCAACTGTTTTTATTATTGATAATAAAAATGTCTTGTAGCAATATTTCACAATATTGCCATTTTTACTGTCTTGTTGATAAAAAATGTAGCTGCAGTGAGCCTAGGAGACTTCTTTGAAACACACACACACACACACACCCTTACAGACCCTTTACTGTTAAATGGTAGTGTGTGCAACAAAAGCAACTGTACGATTATTAGGCTTATGATGTTAAGTATAATAATACTGAATTTATTTTAAAATAGTTTATTACAGGGGTGATTGTAACACATGTAAAAAGTATATGAACCCACTGTATCTCCATTAAGAACACACATTAAATTCATATTTTTATAGCTTTGATAATTTAATATTACTCATTAAACACCATTTTAGTTGTTTCAGCTGTTGGGCATATATGTGTTTACATTATAATTATCTGATGTGTGATATATCTGTTTTTACTATAATATAGAGGTTCAACTAAAGATTCAGATCGAAAAATTGGGTCTTTAAAATGGATATGACTAGTTTTATATCTTATCACAGCCATAATACAAATCTTAAATATATATATATTTTAAATATTATAAAGTATTTTAATATTATTTTTAATTATTTTAATATTATTTTTAATTTAAAACTATAGACTGCAGAAGATAAATATTGTAACGCTTTAAAATAAGGTTCAATTTGTCAATATTTGTTAAAGGGATCATATGATGTTGCTAAAATGAACATTATGTTGTGTATTTGGTGTAATGAAATGTGTTTATGCGGTTTAAGGTTCAAAAAACACATTATTTTCCTTTCTGAAACGCGTAGATTTTTACAAAGCTATTTGGGTTGAAGTGTTCTGGAACAGTGTTGTAAATACAAATTTTAACCACTGATTTCTAGTCGTGTCCTCTTTTGGAAGGCCAAACAAAGTAGTTTCGCTTTCACAACGAAAAACACGGCAGGCTAGACTGAGCAGCGGCCGGAGGCCTAGAGTGAGCGGAGGCCGGCGGGCTTGAGAAAGGCGCGGCCGGCGGATTCGACAAAGGAGCGGCCGGCCGGCTTGTGGCAACCACGGTGAAAGCCGATCCGGCGATCGACAGCGCGAAGTTACTGTCTTGTTACGCGTTGCCACATCGTGACGTAGACATGTGGGTGCGTGTTAGAACGAGCCGTTTTAGGTAGGTGTGGCTGACTCTTAACTTTTATAAAGAATATCTCTTTGGATTTGAGACTTTAGTCTTTGCAACTTTACAGATCTTCTTTATGCACCAAGAGCTTGTAACACTCCAAAGAGAAAGGAAAAATTGAAATCGCATCATATGACTCCTTTAACTTACATTAGTTAACATGAACTGATGAGCATTTATTTATCTTATACATTATTAAAATCAAAAGATTTATCTAATAATATTATTTAATGGACTTGAGATAAAGTAAACTAACAATGCTAAATATATACTGTAGGAAAAAATGTTCTCATTGTTAGTTATTGCATTAACTAACTTTAACTAATGGGAAGTTATTGTAAAGGGATACCAAATTATTTGACATTAAAAAAATTGTATTTCAGCAACTGTTTTTATTATAAAAAAATGTTATAAAAAAATGACACTTGCAGATCTTTTTCCCAGGCAAAAAAGTGATGCTTGACAGCATGTGCTGTTTAAGTGTCAGCTTTCAATTTAGTCTGTTACAGTGAATTGACGCACACGAACGGAGATACTTGGATCAAAACTGATTGAGGAAAAACAAGTGAATGAAGACCGATTGCAATACCAGGGGTTTCCTGTAGATTATTCTGAGAACCGTGTGTTAGTTGTTGATTGTTAACTTGTGTGTGTGTGTGTGTGGTTTCCTCTTACCGGAATCTGGTGAGTGAGAGTGCGGTGTGTGTGTGTGTGTGTGTGTGTGTGTGTTTATGGATGTGTTTGAAAAGAGAGTCATTACTTGCTTGAAATTCTGCACCTTGACCCTACCCTAGAGCCTTCCTTTCCTTTTGCCTGGTGTGTGTGTGTTGAACAGTGGTGTCAGTTGTAGCTCCTCCTTTTTAAGCATTTAAAAGAGGGAGGTCTGAGGACAGTTAATATCTGTAAACCAGTGGGAGTTGCTCCTGGCAGGTGAAGAGGGAGTTTGAGCTTTTGAATTTGACGTGCTGTTGGATTCAGTGCAGGAAATGATAGCTGAGGTTCTTTTAGTCTGGAGCATTTGACTTGGTGTAGACGACAGTGAGGGATGAGCGGTGAATGTGGGTGAGTAAACGACTGATTGTGAGCGTTTCCCCTCAGGCTAGAGAGAAACGGAGAGCAGAAAAAGTTTCTTTGTAGCTGCATGACTGGTTTCACTGGGAGAGGGTTCATGTGTGTGTTCAGATGATGTATAGGCTGATGTGAGTTCAATGTGTGATGTGATGTGTGTTCAAGTGGTTTTCAAAGTTTGTTGTTGTAAATGCAATGAGGCATCAGAATGATGATGTTACATCATCAAGCGTGTTTACATTCAAACAGACACACACACACACACACACACGCTCACTCTTGAGCAGTTAACAAATGGACATCAACTTTAGACTAGATTAAAGTAAATATTTGCATAAAATTATTTTTAGATGCTGTTGCAGAAGACAATTTCTAAAGATTAAATGGTGTGCATCATACACATTATTAATAATAATAATAATAATGTTTTATCTAAAAAGGTATATTTAAATATAATATAGTATTAGAATATTATATTTAATATTTTATAATAATATTTATATTATAGAGTTACAAAATAATGTGCCATTTGCTTTCTCATTTTATGCTTAAAGGGGTCATATGATGCTGCTAAAAAGAACATTATTTTGTGTATTTGGTGTAATGAAATGTTTATGCGG